AGGATCAGCATCAAGCAACATCTACTAGAGTGGCACTTCAGCTCTGAATCCATAACACTTTCTGGAAACTTGAAATTGGTACTTCCGGGAGTAATTGCTTGGAGCATTTGGAAACAATACGCAGCTATTAGATTTGGAAACGAAGAATTTAACATCCAAACTATAAAATCACACATTAGAAATAATATCAACCTGTGGTGTTGGAAACATCGCCATAAAGGTTGGATGATTCACGATGACAATCTCACCAGGGCTGGGCTACAAATGTTTGGATTTATCCGTTTCCCTAAAGTCAGGATATTGGTTTGGTTCCTTTTGATTTATTCCTTTTTTATTTTATTGTGTTTTAACCTTCGAGGCTTCGGTCAAGTCCTCCTCGAACGTGTACGGATCCCGTTTTTAAATAAAATCGGTAAGGAACCCTGAACCTTACCCCACCGACTTTGGTGGTTTCTTTTCGGGGAAATATATATATATATATATATATATATATATATATATATATATATATATATATATATATATATATATATATATATATATATATATATATATATATATATATATATATATATATATATATATATATATATATATATATATATATATATATATATATATCTGTGTGTGTGTGTTATGGGTTTTGGGCTCCGTAACTAATTAACATACCTGGCCCAAAACGCATTTTTTGGGCGCACAAGCTCTAAATCCAAATCCGTTTGTGCCATTGAATTCGTTCCGTCGAACCCATACAACGGTATAATTTGTTTTATCAAACGAAGAATATTTCACAATTACACCAAGTTCGTCTCAGTAATTAATTAATTATTTTTAATAAATTAATCCTGATAGGCTAGGTTTCGAGGCATTACAATTTTTTATATAGAATTATTTGAAAATAATATCAGTCAAACATCGTAAATCAAAACAGACAATATAAATTGGAACGAGGGAGTAAGATTTAAGGAATATGTAATTTTAATGTTATTTTCAAATTTTGTCTTTAATTTGTTGTGCGATAGGTTTGGATGTGATGAGTAGATTAATAGTAAATGGATATGATGCGATAAGTGTATATGTAACACCCCAACCCGCGTAACCCGAACAATCGAGTTAGTGAATCGGGTTGCTACAAATTTTGTATTCACATGCACAATATTTTAAAAACATTTAATAATGACGTAATAATTCATATTTATCTAAAATAAATCATCATTAAATCGGAGTAATAATTCAAATGTTGCGGAAGCCTTTAAAACAATATCTAACATCCTTGTAATTGAAATAAAAGAATTCATCAATATATAATTTAATTAATACAAGCAGCTTCAGCCATCCACCAGCGTCACGTCTCACTATCCTCCAGGCTGCTCCTCGTCAAATCCTTGACCCCCACCTGTAAAAATAGAGAGAGTTGAAATGTCTACTGCTAAAACTAACTCTTATACTAGTACCTATTAATACATTATCAAAAAATATCAGAAGAATCAACAAATATCATTATCTAACTGTACCACTAATTATCCTTTATAATTAAGTTTAGTTTTTTACACATACTAACCTCATCTGCCTGCTAGATATAATCTAATTCATACTTATGGGAGTCATGGAATCAAGGCTCTCGCTCAAACCCTCACTCAAGCTTCAAATTTCTCATAGTGGAGGGGGTTGAGGCCCCCGCTGGCTCTCGCCAGGAGTCATTGACCTCTGTGCAAATGTTTTTAACCCTCGAGACCACCAGGTGCACGATGTCACCAGCATTACCTTATTTTATAAATTAAATCCTATTTGTGATTTTCAATATACAACTTGACTCAAATTTGTCTAGATCTTCTACGTGGTCTATTTCACAATCCAGTTCAACACATAATTATTGTCAACTTTCAGTTAATAGACTCAGACTAATTTATTGTTTTTACTCAATTTTAAGGCCATAATTTAAAGAAGGATCAAAGTGTAATCAATTTAGAAATTATGGGTCAAATTGTATACTATCTCCGTCCCTGAGTATTTGTCTACTTTTGACTTTTTTCAGTCCAAATTGGTAAACTTTGACTTCAAATTAAATTAAAATGATATTAGATATTAATATAAAAATAGTTCTATTAGATTTATTATATCAAATATTTTCAAAATATTATTTTATCTAATTAATATAAATTATATATTTTATTTAATTTTAAATCGAACGTTAAAAATAATTGACCGAAAAAGGTCAAAACTGGACAGATAGTCAGGGATAAAGGTAGTATTTCTTATAAAGAAACTTAATCATCTAATTTCACAAATTGGAAACTTAATCGACTCTCTATCGTTCTACAGACCAGGCAACACCCTTCTTTTGGCCGGGAGTGCAGCGCAGCAGATCGGCAGCGTAGCAGCGGCAGTTCCACCGTCCGGCAGTAGCAATTGACGACCCACAGCACTGGCGGAATTCCACAAACAGTAGCGCCCCTAGTCAGATTGCTACTTGCATCGTCGTCGATAACTACACGCAGCGGTAGCAAAGACGGTGACTAGCAGCCTACTCCCTTGCCGGAAGAACCTTAGCAGCGGCAGCAGTAAGGAGAACAGGGCAGTAGTCTCCCTTCCGGCGAACTGTGGCGAAACAATGGAGCTTCAATTCTTCCTGGCATTAGAGCACTGGTAATGGTCATGAAGCCCCGGGGCTTCAAACCGGGGTTTCAAACTTTCTCTCTCTGACACGTCATCTTTAACTTACACCCAAAATTCACTGGAAATGGTTTTGAAGCCCCGGGGCTTCAAATTGGGGTTTCAAACCTTCATTTTTTACATTTTTAAATATACATCTTCTAAATATAAATTTATAAATTTAAATTAATTTATTATTTTAATTAATCGCAATGACACTATTGCATAAAACAAATTAAATTCATTATAAAAAAAATCTTACATTAATAAAAAAAACATTAAAAAAAATTACATAAAAAAAACAACAGTACAAAGAAATCACTAATTATTCGAACGATTAAAGATATGCTCGATCAAATCCGCCGTTAGTGCATTGTGAATCTCTCGGCTTCGAATTTCTTGGCGGTTGCGTCGCTTCTTTTCTTCGGTGATTTCTTCGTACATTGGCACCTCCTCGTCTGGGTTGTATTGACAAATCGCAGACCCGTTATCCTCTATGATCATATTATGAAGAATAATACATGCGTAGATGATATTCCTCATAAAACAGACTCTTATTGTAAAGCTGCCTGCTAGATCTTACACGGTGAATCGGAAGTTCTGGGGTTTCCGAGCAAGTTATAGAAAAGAGCGGCGGAGAACTCGAAAAAACATCCAAACCGCAAATTCTGGGTAACCAAGCCTCTCTCTAAACTGTTAGCACCTTATTAGGCCTATATAAGGTAGTCCCAAATAATATCCATGCTTGTAAAGCGTCCCTCTAAGCTCAAAAGAGGAGTCCGGTGCGGTCTCATTAACCCAATCATCAAAAACAGGGGATTGATCGAGAACGTTGATGTCGTTGTTCAAGCCCGCGACACCGAAAAAAGCACGCCAAATCCACAAGTCTTCTTTCATCGTCAGAAGATGAACCCATTTTTAAATAATATTTTATAAATATTTATAATAAATAATAAATTTTTTTGAGAGAATATATAGTAATAAAGAGATATTGTTAGAGAGAGGTGTGAGGAAGATGTATGAGAAGGGGGGATTTTATAGGTTTTTTTTTTAAATTTAATTTTTTTTTTAATTGGGGGGGTAACGACTTTATAGCCGTTGGGAAGAAAAAACGGCCCTCACGCCGCGTCAAACGAATGACGCAGGCCTCCTCACGCCCTTTTCACGCCGGCGGGGGGCGGTGTTTCACGCCCCCGGGGCGTTTAACGCCCCGTAACGCCGGTGGGCGTGAGGAGTATTACCAGTGCTCTTAGCGTGCTTCACCACCGTCACAGCGAGTTCAGAACAAGAGCAGTAGAAGGAACAGAAAACAACACAATGGCGCAGAGAAGAACGAGATAGGGCAGCACGGAAGAGAAAGAGCAGAGAGAAATCCCAGATTCCCATTTTTAGTTCAATTCAACACATTCAATAACCGAAATTGCAAATCCAACGTTGAAAATATATTAACGAATGCTAATCTACGAATCAATTATAACGTAAGAAACCACGACTCACCTCGATTGTTCAAAGACGAATCACAAGTCAATGGACGAAGAAATCCAACTAAGAACTTCGGTGACGAACTCATGTGAAGCTTTCCGGCAAACTCCGACGAGGCACTCCGGCTTCCTGTCTCTAGCTTCTGGTATGAACAAGGAAGCAGACGGTGGCTCTTGGTCGACGTATATATATTCGGAGTAGTTGGCGACATTCTTAATCCTAAGGCCAGTGGTAATATCGGTGACGCCGTGGGGCGTCACTGCCATTTTAACGCCCAGGGCGCGTTAAGCACCGCCCCCCTGGGGCTTCACCGTGGCGTTAAACACTTCGGCGTCATACGTTTGACGCAGCCTTCCCCCCTATAACGGCTAAATTACCCTTTGGAAGCAAAAATAATAATTAATTTTTTTATAAATTTCAAACTCCATTTCCTCCAATTCTCACACCTTTCAATCTCCAATTCTCATCAATCTTCTTCACATCTTCTTCAATTCTCTAATTCTCCAACTCTCTTTTCAATATGAATACTTCCAGCTCCAGCTCTTCCCCGACGATCTCGAGCCTAATGAGCACGCCATGTGGATCTTCCAACAATTCGGGAGTAATCCGTTGATGTTCGAGACGCAACCATTGGGGTACGTTTTTGAGCAGGAGTCGGTTCCGGAGACTCAACCGGAACCATCCGAAACCAAAAAAAGTGCACTCTAGAAGAGCCACAAAGCGAAAGGCACTCAAGCAATGACCGAGGCGGCACGGTCAGTCCAAAAGTGGACGCCGGAGGAATAGTGCTTGTTGGCGGCGGCTTGGGTTGACGTCTCCGAGCATCCTATCGTTGGTAAAAACTATATGTTTTCTAATATATTTATGTTTTTATTTATATAATCGTGTTATATATGTGTGTTAAAAAAATTCGTGTTATACTTTTTTAGATGTTCGGAGCAAACGAAGGATGCGATGTAGGATCGTATCGAGGAGAAGTTTTTCACGGCGATGAACAAGGACGTCTCCTACTGTACTCGGTACCAATTCACTTCCAAACGGAGCCACATCAACCGTAAAGTCCGAAAGTTTATCGGAGTTTACGAGGAATGCGTCCGGTCCTAGAGGAGCAGGACAAACAACGCTGATGTTCTCTGGCTTGCCACGGCCCGGTATCAAGATGACGGGCACCAAGGCAAGGTGCCCATCGATCTTTTGAGGATTTTGAGCCGTTCACCGAAGTGGCAACAACTCAACAATTCCGACGGCGGATCGTCAAAGAAAAGATCCTCCGTCGACACTGAGGTTGAGGTCGATGACACTATCGGTTCGTCCGAACAAAGGCCTCCCTTCAACGTTGCGGATTCCGATGATGAGGACCCCATTCCACGGCCGATCAGAAGAAAGAAGGAAAAATCCATTGCCTCGGGTTCTGGAGGGTCCGGCTCTGTTTCCGTTTCTTCTCACGACGATATCGTTCAGGCAATGGTTGAACAACTTCGGGTGTTCAATATTCGAGAAGAAGAGAGGGCAAAAAGAAAGGAAAGAGAAGGACGGGATCGAAATAATGGAAACTGACCTTTCTACGTTATCGGCCTTCAATTTCTTTAAATTTAATGAATGTAATTTTTTAATTATTCTTGTTTCAATATAATTAAATAATAAAATAATTGAATTTTATTAATTTAGTTTTAGAATATATATATTTAAAAATGTAAAAAATGAAGGTTTGAAGCCCCGGGGCTTCAAACCCAACAACAACAACAACAACAACAACAACAACCCAGTTGAATCCCACTATAGTAGGGTCTGGGGAGGGTGTGTGTACGCAGACCTTGCCCCTACTCAGAAGTAGGGAGGCTGTTTCCAAGAGACCCACGGCTCAACCTGCGCAAAATTATGGAAGGGAACACAATATAGTATGGGTAAAGCACCAAGTACAAGCAATAAGTACAAGCAATAGCAAAAGATTCCAAACAAACACAACGGGGCTTCAAACCCATTTCCACTAAATCTATGAGGTAAGTTAAAAATGACGTGGCAGTGAGAGAAATTTTGAAGCCCCGGGGCTTCACGTGTATTTCCAGTGCTCTAATCGAAATGGTTACGGTCATCCATTACTTGTTTATTATTATTATTATTATTATTATTATTATTATTATTATTATTATTATTATATTACTAAATTTCTTTACATTTTCTTATTGAACTGTATTGACTATTTCACTCATCGCGGCTCACCCGAAATTTCAAACTTGACAAACAATATGCCGTTGGTCACCTTTTCTCAAGACTTATCCAAAATCCAAAATTTCATTACAAATTGTTATGTTTACATCATATTTGTATTTTATTCATTTTTCTTTATAATCTTTTCAGTCTCGGACGGTCAAATCCCTAAGCTTCGTAACTCACATTTGCACGCGGAACATGTCGTTATACTCGTTCCATCAAGACCTTCAACTCGAGTATAATCTTGACGATAAAAAGATTCCTTTTAAAATATCTTATTTTATTATTTTTGTTTCGACATTTAATTAATTTAAATAAAAATCAGAATTACGATTTATTAAAAATTTGTTATAAAATTCTAGGGTATATTTCAGGGCGTTAAATTTCTTTCCCCTTAAAAGAATTTCGTCCTCGAAATTTCTTTGCATCGTTGTCGCTGAAAAAGACGAAGACATTGAATTCGTGTAGATTCTTTGGTGTCGTAGGAAGTCATTATCACTCTTTTCGCAACCATACACATAATCAAATAGGAAGGTCTGGATTAGAATCAAATAGGAAGGTTTGTTCACAATACATAGTTATGGATCACATAACGCTAGTTATACCTACAATGCATATAAGAACATACCATAGTCGACGTCTGGATTAGAATCAATTCTTCCTTACATGGCGTAAGTCCTAGCTGGAGCTCTAGCTTGACGTTGTGCAGTAGGTTGTTGTGGCCTCTGTGGACGTTGAGATGCATCGGTCATTCGCTCGCTCTGTGCAGGTCTGGTAGTAGGCGTATGACTTGGAGCTGGGGCAGTAGAGAACGAAAATCCAGGATTGGTTGGGCAATCCCTTCGGAAGTGGCAAGACTGACCGCACCCCATACAAAACCCATCTTCTTTCAGCATTCACCTAGGTGATGACGATTGCAATCCAAACACAACGGATACATTGGTTGCTTACCCTTGCTAGCCAAAGTTACGGGCTAAGTGGGTAATGACTAATGAGTTAGCCTTCTTCGAGAGTTGAAGCTCGGATCAACTTAGAGGTGTCTTTCTTAGAAAGGTCTTGCACGTGCTAGCTATTGGCGTGGACGTCTTGGCGGGTTTCCGCTCGTTCTTCATACTCGGGCCCTCCTTGGTCCTAACCACCTCTTTGGCTTGCTCGTACATGAGGCCAAAGTTTTGCCTATATGTTGTAGCCATACCCTTCTTAATAAACTTGTCGCGATGTCTCTTTTTGGTATTCACCAAGTCATTCCCAAAGTCCACGAGATGATCGAATCCTTGGCAATACTCAGGGAGACTCATCGTACCCATCTCCAGATGCAGAAACTCCTCTCATTTCTCTTCCAAGAATGACTCGGGAATGTACTCCTCTTTGAACACTTAATCGAAGTACGCCCACGTAACTTTCACCGGATGGTTCGCATTCCGAGTAGTGCATTTCCACCACTCGCAAGCATTACTTTGTAGCAGCATGACCGCTAACTAACTCATCCCACTCACTAGCTGGAACCTTTAGATTCTCGAATACGCGTTAGACATGTTCTAACCATCTAAACTCAATCAACGGATCAGCGATGTTCTCACCTAGGGACTCCTCAGCGCCGTTTTTCTTCAGTCTCCGGTTGTCGCACATGCATCAAAGCGTTCTGGTTCATGATCAAAACTTGTTATAGAAGCTGCATCATCATCGCATGGTCGATCTGTGGAACCCTAGTACGCCCACCATTTGGCGCCTCTTGGTGTGGGATGTTCTGGTTCATGCTCATATTCTGTTTTTCGTTCTGTTGCATGTTCTTGTCCTCAGAGTGATGATCGTCGTTGTAATAAACGATAGGGTCCATTCTACAATTTTACAGTTTTAACTAATTAAGCAACAAATATCATACAAGCACATTGTTAGGGACTTGTCGTACGGTCCAAAACAAATTAAAAATTTATAAATAACCTTAGCTAACCCCCAAAATATAATCAAATAAAAACTATAGCTAGGGCAAGTAAGGGTCGATCCCACGGAGAAAGTTTGTACTTTTGAAATCAAATTAACATGCAAACACATTGTCACAAAAATAAAACAAATAAAAGCAAAGTAACTACTACACGTATGATGAGATTGTTGTATTTAGGTGCCCTAGCGGCAATCAAATACCTATGTAACTGTACACTTTATCATGAATGAAAGGCCTTGAAGTATGTTTTATATCTCGTGTAACATAACATAGCTTCAGTCCATAGACGATAGCGCTTCAGTAACATAGATGAGGACTACGATGTTCTGATTATGAGACTGTTACTTCTTGACGAAGGCTATGTCTAGAATATCCCTAGTCGCACTTTATGATAATACGGACGTCATAACGTATCAAGACTAGTACGTACGAGATGAGATAGTTGCGTCTCAAAGACTATAGGTATTGTGATATCTTAATCTGTACGTAGGTGCATATTATATCGATAATATGTGACTGGATTGACCCATCTTGAGAATACTGCTTGGATCTACAGTAATGTGTTTATCAGTATTCTCAAATCGACCTTGCTATAACTATCCTCAGACTTGAAGTTATTACATTCTCTGATATGTGGGGTCGTATGCTTTGATTCATAACTAATGCTATCTGAAATACTGGTAGACGTACAGTTATGCGTTGGGTATGCCGCTAAGCATATTTAGAGATGTGAATAACAGATACAGGATCTGTCCCTTCTACTGTATAGAAGTATAATGTCAATGGGCCCACTGAATAGTAGGAC